TTTTTTACTTCCCTTGAGCAAACGTGTAATTTCCATGATTTCTTTTTAATGAGTGCGGTCTGCGGCCAGTAGGCACTGATTTATGAAAAGCTGTAAAAGATCAGGTGGAACTCTGTAGGACATCGTTTACAGCTGCACAGATTGAAACCTATCTAATTTGTCTAGTAAAAGTGTGAGCTCACGGTGCACATCACCCGGCCTATAAATTTCCTTCTCAGACCCAGCGTCTGGGGCTGGGTCTGAAAAAAGGCCGATGCCTGCAGCTGCTCTGAAAGCCCGGATTCCCTTGGTGCACATGAAGAGACATCACAGGCTCTTCACAGTGAGAGACAAATTCCTATCCATTGATAAACTCTCCAGATGTCCTCTCGGAGGAGGAAAGGAACCAATTTTTATTTGAAATCCCCAGAGAAATCCTGGAAGTGGAAAAATGATACTTTGCAGAGCTGGTTATTCTGAGGTCACTGGCATTAAAATTAGGTCATTTTTTTGTCTTGGTTGTACTTTGATCCAAAGTCATAAAGAGAAAAACTCAGTTGGGGTCACTCTAATTCCTAATCCGCACGTCCTGTTCTATTTCAATTTGTTTATACTAATTTTCCCCCAAGCTTTTGTTGAGTCTGGCCGAAATGTTCAGTTGAAGAACACAAACCATTTTGAATTGAGAAGAAAACACTCTGCATTTTGCTATTAGGCACACTTCATAAATATTCTGAATAAATGTCCTGGGGTTTGATTCTTCCTACCCACAAGCCCATAAATGAGAAAGTATTACTATTCATGGGACTAAGAGTCCACAGTACGGTTCTGTGCTACCGCTACCGTAGAGATAGAAATCGTGAGGGGTGTGTGGCAGGGATGGGTGCCAGCAGGTTAATGTGTTACCATCCCATTTCTAGACCTCACTTCATTTTGCTTAACACATTCGCTCAGAACTGACTTCAGGCTATATTATTTCAATGGTATCTCTGATGAGGGCAGTATCATCTATCTGATGTTTAGTAGTAGAAGAGGCTGTTTCATTCAAGTTAGCTTTATTAAAGCAACCCAAGAATATCACATAAGACTTGAAACCTGGATTGGATATCTATATATGGTAATTCCTTAAAGTTTTAGAAAAATAACAAAAAAGAAACTATTGATTATGAAAAGAAAATGCTTAATGTTTTATAGATGAATAATTTAAAGAATCCTAGTAACCTACTTGTATAAACATTTCCAAAGGAAATAATTACTGAAGTGCTTTATAATTTTCTAGATATCACTGAAAACATTAACTAAAATAATGCCTATTTTTTGTTTTTTTATTACTTAGAGCTAGTTAAAACTAAGCCATAGGATATTAATATAAATCATTGATTCCATAATTAAAATGTTAACTTATAACTTATACCAATGTAAAGAACTGAAGTTATCAATTTTAATTCAAGAGAAAGTTGTTGAAAAAAATTTCAACTTTCAATGGGCTTCCACTTACAAATGATCCTGACAGTTAGGAACCTGGGCATTGATTGATCTGTGTTTTCAACACAATGTGGAAATAGGGGCAGAACTTGGATACAGTTTTGCCCCTTTCTTTTTCCTTCCTCCCTTCCTTCCTTCCTTTCTTCCTTCTTTTTTTAAATACCAGAGATCAAATTCAGGACTTTGAGCTTGCCAGGCAGGCATAGCATCACCATAGTTTTTTCATTTTTTAAAAGCTCAGAAGTAAGCAAATAATTGTAATGCAGTTCCACATATATCTAGTTGATCTGAAAGCTCCTCTCCTTTGAGAACAGCAGGCATATGTAGAACATGATCTGTAATTGTCCTAGTTTAAGAATCTCAATGTCACAGGTAGAATTTCTCTTATGTATGACGAAGTAAATTGGAGAAATAGCACCAGTAGGAGTAGGAAACTCCCATTTTCTTTTTCATTCAGTTTATTGGTACTTTTTAGATATACATTCATCATTGGGATCTTGAACCTTTGCACAATGCATCTTATTTCTTATTTTTTCCCATACCCCTGCCGTCCCTTCACCCCCTCCACCCCTCCATATTTACAAAGACTTTGTTTCCATTTTTTCCTTTTCTCATATTTTTCTTTTCCCTTCTTTCCTTTCCCCTGCCCTTCCCAATTCCCCTACTCTTTTAGCCCCTTTCTTCCTTTTTCACATTGTCAGTTATACAATTTGAACCTTTTTACATTTTAGGTTTTCACACCAGAGAAACTTATTTGGTATTTACAAGTGTGTCCTTCCTATTTATAAAACCTTCAATTTAAAAGTCCTTTTTTAAGTATAGATGGGATTGGCACATTTAAGGATTTTCCTGCACAAAATGGATGTTTTTTTTTCTTTCATTTACACAAAAACCAGCACATATCCTCAATGAGAATCAATGATTGCTACTTACAGACAAACACTGTACAAGTTTATTTCATTTAAATGGTTCATTTTGTTATTATTCCATGCAACTGGTAAATATGTTATTGGAGTTAGCTAACTAGAGAGGAAATGTATTTCTACACTTGATCTTAGACAAAAGGCAGAGAAGTGATAGTAAATTCATTTCTAAAATAAAGGTAAATGCACATCATATATATCCTTCATTTGTCTTTGTGTCTTCTGACATCAAATAATCAAATTTCAATGTCCCCAATGATGAATTTAATATTAAAAATGATAGATATAATATGGAAAATCATTTTAGAAATATAAAAAATAATATTCTAGTTTTAAAGCTGATAAAATTAGATATTTTGTGACAATAACAAAACTATTAAGAAACCAGTATGTGTGAAATATGGGATACAAAGAAGGGCAAGGGAATGGAGAAAAGATAAGAACCAAGATTGATTATGCAAAGGTACAGACTTCCAACAGTGAATGTCATGATAGTGCATACATTAAATGTGCCAATAAAATTAATTTTTCAAAAGTCATTAACTATTCTGAGGAGGCCATTATAATATTCACCTTATAGGGTTATTTCTATTATATATGTATATATATATATATATATATATATATATTAGTACAACACTGAATTTACAGGCACTCAAGTGTTAATGCAGTCATTGTATTCCCAGCATTTTATATTAACTGATATTTGTTATGCTATTCTTTTTTTGAAGTTTTAAAAATGTTAACTATTTCACCAAATGGTTAATACCAGAATAATGAATAGCAACATGTTGTATTCATTATATGATAATACTGCTCTAAGTATTATGTACTTACAGTGGTGTGGAATATGTATAAGCCATCTACCCATTTTACAGATAAGAAAACATAAAATAAGTAACCCATAAAAGTTACACAGATATTCACTATACACCCAGGGTTCTATACTGGTCTTATGGTTCCAGTATCTGTACATTGAACTACTTTACTTGGTAGCATGGAAAAATCAAAAAGGTCACATCACAGAATCATAAATAGCTTAAGAGTAAAGAGAAGAACTAGAATATGAACAACATCAACATTTCACCTAGATAACACAGCAGTAAAACATGTGAGCTGTGATATAAAACAACGTGTCTAAAACTCATTTCTGTTTCTTTTATCTGAGGAAATTCAGATTGTAACTTACTTCATTTAGTTTCAGGTTTTGTATCTATTTTAAGTGGATAACATTACTGCCTAATTAAAGATTAAGTTTCTTCATATCTGTATAATATGCTTAGCCTAGTTCCTGGCACATAAATGCTCATGAATCTTTAACTTAATTTGAAAACAAGGGGAATTCATAAGTCATTTGGGTTAAAATTACTTTCCTTAAAAAAAGAAAAAAATAGAGGATAATAAATGATTCATGTAATGACTAGGTCCAATCTTATGAGTCAAAGGACAATTAAAAAGGTCACTGAAAGTCGAAAAATACAACACCCTCGAGGCAGCTCACTAACAGGCTCCTTCTTTTCGTTCTTCAGGAATAGAAACTTAGTCTCCTCTATTTCTTTTATGTCATTTTGCTCCTTTGATGCAACAGACTCTGCAGGTGTTCATTGATTTGTGAACAGTCTTGCAATTAAATAAAGTAATCCTATAAAGTCCTCTTCTTAATGATTATAATAAAGTGCAATATAAATCAAAATTACAATCTGTATTTATTTTTTTAATTGAATTTATTGGTACATTTTAGGGATACAGTACAGTTACATTCATTGTTGGGATCTTGTACCTCTACATGACAAGTCTTGATTCTCATTTTTTCCCCTTACCCCTGCCCTCCCTTCACCCCTCCTCCCCTCCCCATCTACAAACACTTTATTTTCATCTTTTCATTCTCTCACATTTTTTTTCTTTTCCCTTGTTACCCTTCCCCTACCCATCCCATCTATATTTATATGTCTGAATATATATAATATATATATTATATATATGGCATAGCATATCCATTTGGTCTTGCTAAACATGTATGAATTTCATTCTTACCTATTGTTATTATGTTGCTTTTGCAATTTTTACTTTTAATGACATTTACAATATTATTTAAATATGTGCTGACTTTATGTTCTGCTGTAAGTGTAGATGACTTCATTCAAACTATTCTTTAGACAGTCATATCTACAATGTCTACAGATAAGCATTCAGAGGGCGGGATGTGTACTAAAACTGAATCTGTCACCAAGGCAGATAGCAGATTATTTAGTTGTCATTCTGCTATAATTGCATTTTAAACTCCCACCATCTTTACTAATGATGGAACAACACAAAGTATAATATGTATGTTTATGTTTACAGCTTTCACTGGCAAACTTTAATGATTTTAAAAGCAGTCAGGAGTAGGGAAGGGAAAACACTTACACAAGAGGATTATACAGTTTTCTTCCAAACTGCCGGCATGAATAGACGATGTCTTCATGGCAGATCAATTTCTCAAATGAACAGGAACACCCGGCGAAGCCTGGAAGTTCCTGCTGATGTTGGTGTCACGTTTTGACATACAGCAACTCTGCTGACTCCGGATCTCTATGTCTCTCTTTCTCTTTCGTGTTTTCTTTTTTTTTGCAGGCCATCAAACCTTCTTCTGGACCAAAGCAATGTCGATATCACTACCTTCCGCACAACAGGTGACTGGCTTAATGGTGTCCGGACAGCACACTGCAAGGAAATCTTCACGGGAGTGGAGTATAGTTCTTGTGACACCATAGCCAAGATTTCCACAGAGTAAGAAAAAAAATGTATTATGAAGAATGCATGATTATGAACTTTCTACTAATCATATCTGTCCTGGATTGGTGTGTTATAAATATTCATTGTACTCCTGAAATACATGTATATCTTGTATTATTGATCTGGGATCAGAATTATTTTGTGACCACATTTTTATGTCGATGTGTGTTGGAGTATCTTCCTGTTATGTAGTAGGTCCCCACAACAGGTAACTTCACTGATACCATGATATTTAGTCAGACCATTACACACCAACAAAATCAAGCTGCTTATTTGCAAACATTAGCATATACGGCTTGATGGGAATTGCATGATCTTTTATGTCTTATTTTGTTACTTTTGTAAAAAGGATAACTTCTGTGCATATTGAATATTGGGATATGAATATATATAGATAGAGAATATACATAGAGAAGCATGAAAAATCTAGAAGTAATTTTTACAACTACTAACTAAATATCATACATAATCATCTACTCTCAAGTATCTGCTCTGAAGAATATTATGCTAAATAGACTAAAGGCAATTTCTTTCTGTTTTCCTTAAAAGACTGAAAGTTGCAAAATACAGAATATGCATCAGAATATTAGTATTAAATTTTGGGTTTATTTAGGGTACATATCAGCATTGATCTTATGCTAAAAACCAGCAAGAATCAAATATGCTTTTTTTTTTTTTTTTTTTTTTTTTTTTTTTTTTTGGTACTGGGGATCGAACTCAGGTCCTTGTACTTACTAGGCAGGCAGGAGAACCACTGAGCTAAATCCCTGGCTAAGAATCAAAGATGATGTAGTGCATTTATTAGGGAATATTTGCTCACAGCAATCTTTTGATAGGAGAAATTCCTGGACATAAGAAAATGAGTTTTATAACAAATATCATGAATCCAGTGATAAAAATGAGTTTTAATTCACAAGATATGATAAATGGAAACAGGCAAATTGGGGAACTAGATCTTACATTCTTCATCTACCTATGAATAAGGCCAAGTTTTGCTTCACCTCCTAATGACTGCCTGCATATTCTTTTGTTTGCTACACAGTGACTTCTCCTGTTTTCCTATCTGCCTAGCTAAAAACAGCTTCCACAACCTTCAGTTTTACTGCCATTCAAGTAAGGGGGGCCACTTCTCTTACTTCTAAGTCCCATGAGAGAAATTACGACTGCGTTCCGCTTGTAGATCAAAATGGCTTGTCCTACTTGTAGAGCTTGTTGAAGTGGCTCAGCTCCATCTGTAGATTGGCACCTGCACAGCCATATGTCAGCCACAATTTACCATTTTTCCTCAAGGGATGTATGGTGAGATAGCATTGACTTGGATCTCTGGGCAGTTTTCCTGAGGGAAAGGTTTAAACTGTTTCAAAGAAAGATTTGTGTGGGGCAGATTCACCAAAAGTGGTCTGAAATATAACAGCTTGCATGGTGTATTGAAAACCATGCCCATCTTTGGGTCAAAATCTTCTACCTTTCATCTTTATTTCATTAATTAAGCTCTTTAGTCTCCTCAAGTTTCTTTAAATTATCTTCTCTGCAACTAATATTTAAATATTTATATATTATTGATATACGAAGACATTTATTGTTACCTGCCAATTGTTTAAGCAAAGTCATTATAGAGAACAAAGGGTTAGGTATCAAAAAGGAAAGCTAGTATAGGTACAAGTTGCCCAACATATAAATAAGTTTGTAAATTATGGTGCAACATTCCAATCAGAAACATAAAACCACAAGAAGACCTACAGGAAGGGTTTATTACTACTGAAGAGAAAAACCTTTTCCTAGAAATAAACTCAAACTAGTCCATTTAATGTGCATTGCCATTTTTGTTTAAAATGAAAGGTGATATTTATTGAAAAGATTTCTGACTCAGTCAGCAATATAATTTGAGTTTCTATGGTAATTATTTAGATTAACCCAGTCACAGGATATATTCCATCATTTAAACATTTTTGTATATTCTTATTTTAGAAATATAAACAGTTAGGATTATGATATACAAGACACCTGCTTTAGAGCACAGAAGCATAACAAAGAATAAACACAAGGTTGAATATTCTCATACCAATGCCAGACTTTCAAGGCAAAGTTATGCAAATATCAACACGCAGAGCTTTTCAATAGTGAAACATTACATTGAAGAGGTTGAGGCAAAACAGTGTTAATAAGATTAACTGCTAGTTCATAATTTAAAAATGGCCATTAGAAGTGGTGAACATGACAATATAATTATTTGCTAGAAAAGTTGAAATGACTGCATTTGTCATAGTTCCAAATTAGTGATATATTTGAGTCAACAATATAATGTTCAACATTATATTGTTTCACTCCCACTGTGTTCATTTTGGCTGGTTACATTATTTTTCCTCTTTATTACTAGGGTTTGTTTAAACAACCGTTTAATATACATAGAGTTGAATGCTGCCTTTTCCTGAGAAACGTGGCCCTTTTGAATTTGCCCTTCCCACTCAGTCACATGGTCTTCAATGCCTCTGTATTTTACTTCCATGGTGTTCTTTATTCTTTTTTTTATTTTAATTCAGGAACAATATAAGATTAGTATCTGTTGCCCTAAAATTCCTTAAAAGGAATGATTTTTCCTTTAGTCACTTCAGAGTCATATAGCCCTTGCCTTTATTTTAAAAATGAAAGTTTCTTAAAGGATGTTTAGTATACTAAGAGTTTGTGTAAATCTAATCAGGCATTATTTTCATTTTAAATGCTATTTAGCTAGAGATTTTAACTTTCCATTTGGAATCTAGGACTTCTTACTTGAAATTGATTACTACAACCTTAAATGTTTGTGTCATCCATACTCAATTCAGAAATTATTCACTTGATCAAGTAACTGTAGAAATTCTCCTAGAATAGAGAGATACTAAAATGGTTCTTGGATTTATTTGACCTTTTCCCCTATTCAGAGTATGAATTCACAGAAAAAAATCAATATAATTTTATTCTGAAGTAAATGTTAAATGATTTCATATAATTTGGGGGATTTTCTTAAAATGTGAGCTACAAAAGTCACCTAATTTTCAAATAAAACCTAAAATATATGCAGTTTTATTCAATAAACATTTTTTTTCATAACCTAGTATGGATTTAGGAAGTTTGAATGAGAAAAAAAAAAGAGAGAAAAATAAAGAACAGCATGCCCATGACTGTGAGATCTACAGAGAATCATGTGTAATAAGTGGTAGATTGATTGCCTGCTACATGCCATGATCCTGCATCCTTGGTGGCGAGTTCAGAGTGTCAGCACGTGTCCCCTGAGCAGTTCTAGATGACACATTAACTTCTGGAATTAATCCAGAAGATCTTCTTTATTCTTGAACTTCTTCACCCCTCCTCTGCATAGGATAATCAAAACGAAATGAATACATACACACAGGCATTCACACACACAGGACATCTTATTGGGACCATAGCATCTGGGCATTCAGAATGATTGTGAATCTGGCAAGGTGGAGTACAGAAGATATACTGGCAGGAGCAGAGAGAGTAGAGGGCCTTACAAACCTAACTAAAGTATAATGAAAAAGACTAATTTAATTAACTTTTAAAAAATCCAATATAATTCTTTGCAATGAATGTAAATAAAGCTATATATATATATATATATGGTTATATTGGTTCTCTGGAAAGACAGTTCAAACCAGGTTTGTATAGAAAATTTCCTGATGTGTACATTCTATACATACCTCTGTAAAGAAGAGTCAGGGAATGTCACAAATTGGACTGAACTTTGTGCATCTGGTTTCTTTTTTTCTTTCCCAGCTACTTGAGGCAGACTGTCTCAGTTTATAAGGGGAGAAGAAGACTAAGCATTACTGTATATATTGCTAAGTTAGTATGCTTAGGTTTCTCAAAGAGCTCAGAAAACCTGCATACTACACTGGATTATTTTTCTGCTTCTGATGGCTGTCATTTTACCTTCTTTTTTTAACTATGTAGGAAAGAGAAGAGAGACAAAAGATTTCAAAGTCATAGAAAATATTATATAGCATTAGAAGAAATATGAAAGGAGAATACAAAAGTGTGACAATCTGGAGCTCTATTGTTTTGCATACCTATGCATATCCATCATTTTCTGGTTCTCTATTCATAATTTATTTTAGCTTTGGAATCGATGGGGACATAGTTCCACTCATTTTAAAAATAGATTCATGGTACATAAAAAAGAATCAAAATCCCATAGCAGACTTTTCAAAAGCAGAAATAGCACATGTTACTCTAATTGGGGGCATTCGTTATCCACAGTTACTCTAAGAGGGTCAAGTCTGATGTAAATATACCTCCCACCAACCTTCCCCGTGAAGAGAGAGAGTGTGATAAGACAGGATCTCAGGCAAGAGAGAATCAATGGCCACCTGAAGGGCAGCAAAGAAGGAAAGCACACATCATCAGGAGCTTCATTCCTAGACACTTGGCTGAAATGCAGCACGATTTTGGTTAATTTCAAGCAGCTGAAGCTTAAATAAAATATACATTGTTTCTTAAATGACGACCTACTGTCAGCTTGTACATATTTACTGATTTCAAACTTACCTTTGAAGAGATCAACTAATATATTTCGATGTGGTTGAATTCCAACTTTTTCTTTCTGTTGTAGCCAATGTAAGGAATCATTTATATGTTTATGTGACGTGTGTGTATGTGTGCGCTCACATTTTTTTTTTTTTTTTTACATTCTCAACTTGCTTAAGTCTACTTACCAAATAGTATCTCAGGTTCAAATTAATTTAAGCAGAAAAACATATTTTGCATTTTTCCTTTATTAGTACATATGAATTAAGCCTCTACTAAATAGTAGCTATTGTACAGGGTGCTATTAACTAGCACAGCATAAAATAAAGCTTTTCTCCTGGCATGGAATTCATTCTTTGGAAAAAAAAAAAGACGAGAATGAAAATATATCAGAGAGAAAGATAATATGCTAGGTGGTGATCAAGTTTTCAGAGAAAATTAAACAAGATGAGGATATAGAAATTGCGGATCCTGGACCAGAGAGATTTCACAATTTTACTTATGAGAATTATGGAAGTTCTCATTAGAGTTTGAGTCAAGAATTTAAAGAGGTGACTATATGAGTGAGTTACTTCAAAGTAGATACATAACTTATAAGATACACATGTTTAGCTAAAACTTTTCTTAGTGAAATTCCTTATGTTCATTCTACCTTATTTTCTTATAATCTTTACTTAATGCCTAACTCCTGATCTTACAATATTTTAAATTTAATAAATAGGGATTTATTCTTTATATTTGTTTCTATTTGGAAAGAATTTTATATTTCAATGAGATTGTTTCATCTAGCAATGGCTGTACAAACTTAAATACTGAAACAAAAGTTGTATTCTGTATCCCAGTGTTGGGGATCATCAGTTTGGAAAGAACTAAGTGGGTTTTTTGCTCCATTATTGGAGTTGACTGACACATTCAGCTGAGAAATACACTGATCACTCTGGAAAGAAGAATATGCTTTCAAAATCTGCCCTTCTACCGTGGTGCCTCAGTTCATGAAAGTTTTTGTTTGTAAACAGGTGTTTGATAAAATTTTGTTTTTGTTTACAAACTCTGCACCAGGTGACAAAAAAGACCATGGCCATCTTTCCACAAAACAGCACCAGCATGTTCATATTTTCCAAAATCAGGAAACACAGCAAGTTTGTGGGCCATGGTACCACTTTACCTGAGCATAAACTGTTATTAGTCCCAACTAAGATCATGGGCCAAAGTGCTGGGTAGTCAGACTTACTTGGCAGCACCTTTATCCCAGAGAGGATATCTCAAGATATGAGAAGTGGTAGTCTTCAGCTTCTTAAAACTTGAAAAAAAATTCATACAATTTTGACTTCTATTCTAGGTAGTCAGAGAAATCCCCAAGCTGGCCTCAATTCAAGGAAAATATATAAAGTCTCACAAAGACCATGTGACCATCTGTATTAATTGTGTTAATAAATAAAAAAATGAAATGAGTTTTTATTGCAAATTAACACAATTTAGTAACCTAATTAAACAGCAGAAATTTATTCTCTCAAAATTTTGGATTCAGAAGTCTAAAATCAAGATGTTAGCCAGTCTCTAAAGGAGAATCATTTGTTGCCTCTTGCACCTTCTGGTGGATTTTGGTATTCTTTAATTTCCTGCATTATAGCTACAATAAGGAGCTATAATCTACATTCCTATATCTGTCTTCTTCATGTCCTTATGTGCCATTTCTTGTCTCTTGTTAGGAAACTCTTCCTAGAACTAGGATCCACCCTGTTCCAGGACAATATCATATTAGTCCTTGCCTTCAGACATTTGCAACTACTGTTTCCAAATAAGATCACATTATTAATTTCTAACTGTACAGAGATTTGGAGGATATGCCATAGCCTTCCATAAGATCTAGGTATAATAGTAAAAATATGATGCATGGATGATGCAAAATCAGAAAATTAGTTCCTAAGTATTGATATACATAGTTGTGTAAGATTTGCTAATTAAAAACATGATTCTTATCACATATTTTATCTTCTATTTTTCAGTGACATGAAAAAGATTGGTGTCACTGTAGTTGGGCCCCAGAAGAAGATCATCAGTAGCATTCAAGCTCTAGAAACACAGTCCAAGAATGGTCCAGTTCCAGTGTGAAGTTCTCCTTCTGAACAAAGTGATTGCTGTGGAGCCTGCTGCATCCCTCTGCAGGCAGCTGCTGCTGCTCATGGAGATACAAGTGCAAGTTCCACGTTCCACAGGACACTCAGACACGAGTACAAATGCCTTAAAATGGAATTGAGAAACTCTTTCCCCCTATTACTTAGTGGATGGGAGGGTGGGTGGATTTTGTTTGTAATTGCTTTTTGTAATGTTAGTTAATGGATTAAGTTAAAATTCTTCAGCTCAAAATTGTGAAGAACTAGTATAGAGCCATTGATCATAAACCGACTACCGCAAAGCAAATCAGTGGAATGACAGAACGGACATGGTGGCTTGATTTACAGCCAGAAAAGAAAAAAACTTGTGATATTTTTATACACAGAAGAAATCCATAACAGGTATTTTGTTTCTTTAAAAGCAAACAAAATAGAGGAATTTATACCTCAAACTATCTGGCCATATTTACTACCTTATCATTATATTATTTTCTTTTTTTCTGTTTAAAGCATATAGAGATGAAGTTTGTAGTTGTTTTAAGTACTACACATTTTTAATTTTTAGGTTTCTTAAGTATGCAATGTAAAAATGTGTCTTGATTTTTTTTAAAAAGTACATATTTATTTTCTTTTGAATCATTTTTATTAATTGATATTTATACTTTGATTTATTTTGGATTTGTTGTAGCCAAGTGCCAAATGCTCTCTCAAAATGTCAGCACTAGGAAATATTTCTCACTAGACATGAAGAATGAAGTTTCTTTCCAGATTTTTTGAAGCATCCACCTCCATGTATTAAAAAAAACAAAACAAAACTGAAATACTTTCCACGTTCATATAGTAACCAAATCTCTTACAATATGTTACCCCATTTGTTTTTGTCTTTCCATTTATTATAACTATGCTCCTAATTTACTGTAATATACTGGCTTGTATGTGATTGATTTTTAGCCAGATGACAAACCTTCCTGTTCTGGAGCTCAGAGGCCATGAACTCTCTTCATTCATGAAGGGACCATGTTAGAATTCATGAGAATAGCTACACTGGAAACATTTAAAGTTCTATTTAGATTGTTGCATTCATTGACAGCACAGCAAATGCATGGGTCAAAAAAATCACTTACTCCCTGGCTTTGAAAAGTTGCTAAATATCTTTTGAAAAATGTACTCAAGTGTTTATAGGGAATGATGATTAGCTAAAATACTCATCTGCATTACTGAAGTTTAGGACAATTAATTAAACATTGTGACAACCAGTATCAGGTATGATTATCTTTAATAGTCTTCCACTTCAATGCACCTATTATAATTTTGGTGTATATCTCAAAAGGCTTTAATCTCTTTTCATTTATTGAACATATTTTTCAATAGCTGATCATCTAGCAGATTTCATAAAATCTGTAAGCAATGCAGAGTTGTGTCTTCGCAGGGATTGAGACTTGCTGTTATATAAAGGCCAACTATGAGCATGTACATTGATATTTGAAAGGATGTATCTGGTAGAGATCTAGCTACTAATATATTCTGAAGCAACATTTTAGACCTATCCATAATCTTTCTAATGCTGATACAATCGTGTCATGAACATAAGAAATGTTTATGTCACAAAAATAGAATGGATGCAACAATGCTGCAACACTTACATTTGTATGCAAACTTCCTATCACAGATCAAAATACACAAAGGCCGATCTGTTATACATTTACCATAATAGAGGCTAGATTATGCGAGGTTTTTTTTTTTTAAATATGAAACTGCTTCCCAAATTTTGGTAGTGTTCCTCATAATCAAGTCATGCTACTATAATTTTATATTGGATAAATATAAGAGCATGAACTTTTAAAAAAATGAAGTTAATTACAAATTTCATTTATGCCTGCTAGAAGCAGCTAGAAATAATTCCCCCAATCAAGTTTTGGAATATTAAACTGAGGTTCAAATCTGGCTTCAGTTTCATATTTTCCCATACTAGTACTTAATTTCTTGAATACTGTTCTGGGTCTGCACAAAAAAAAAATTGTGCATTTCATAAACTAGTAGAATTTGAGGATTGTTGAATATATTGAGCTTATTTCAGCTGTAGTTTTTATTTGAAAGTAGAAGGTGTATACGCAGTATATAGCTCTTCATTTTTTCAGTATTTTTCTACCTGATCTCTTAAAATTTACATAATTCTTATCCTGTACATATGTAAACATAACAGTGTATGATTCCTGACTGTTGAGTAGAGGTACTAGAATGCTTGTGGCCATCCCTTTGTACGTGAACTGCAATGAATTTCAGTAATCACAAAACTACAATTCCTTCACAATTTTATATATACTGCATTACCTGTTTTGTATCTTAAACTTGATTTATACATATTATTTATTTCTGGTGACACATCCAGTGTATGCTATACTATCTGTTAAGCCATGTATAAATGTGATATGATTGGCAATATCTCTTTACTTTGAACTTGTCTTTTCAAAACATTTACTCATTTAGTTTACATTGTGCAATGTGGATGGCCTCTTACTAATGTAAAATTATTTGTAGTGGAAACATTTATATTTTTATAATAAACAATGAAAATATTTTTACAGATTGGAATACAGAAGTGGTATTTGAAGCCTTTTTTAAAAAAATATAAAATATGTGCTGAAACAAAAATTAATGAAATATAGATAAGACACAAAAAGGTGCCTTTCTTTTTCTTTTTTCTACATTAGTGAGGAAAGACTCGTGTCAGGTAGTCTATTATTTTGGTCCCAATATTATAACCAATAAAATAGAAAAATGATACTTCATAGTTAATAAGTATTACTGTATTATGCAGTTCTCTTTTGCTTACATGTTACAAAAAACCAAAAAAATTAGCTTCATAAAAACATGTAGGCCATGTGACCACATTCCAAGTTGAGACATCAGGCACAAATGGAACCAGAAGTTCTAACATCACCAAGCCTAAGTCTCTCTCTCATTCTGTATGTTCTTTTCCCACTCTGTTTTTCTCCTAATTCAGTTAACTGGCAAGACTAGATTTTCACAAGGTGAAAAATACTGCTCTAGTTAACATAATTTTATATTGGGACTCCTATGAAATGTTCACTTTCTTAACTGTTCCTACAAAAATTGTAAGGCATTTTCTTTAGTTACAAGCCACATCCGAATCTCTGGCTAGGGGAATAAATGAATCAGATTGACAAGTCCCGTGCTTGTCCTTGGAGATAGTGGATGGGATTATGTGATGTGATGCTCCATGTGGTTCAGGAATATGAAAAAGTGTATGTCTAACAGAAAGAATACTGTATATGATACAAAAGGCAATGAATTCTATAGGAATTAATGTAACAAAATGAAAAACAAGCAGCAGCAACTACAAATCATGTGCTGAAACATACCATATTTTGTATAAAGAAAATAGATCAATGGAACAGAAAAAGAGGATGCAGAAACAACTCCAGGAACACTCCGTTATCTTATCTGTGACAAAGGGGCCAAACACTTTCTGGTGATGAAAGATGTCCTCTAACAAACGGTGGTAGGAAGACTGACTTTCCACATGCCGAAGATCGAGCTCAGACTGATGTATCTCATAATGCACTAAACTAAAAGTGGAATGGATCAAAGATCAAAGTATTAAAGTATTAAAACATAAATATTTAAATATTAAAATTATAAAAATATTAAATATTAAAGTTTTAAAAAATCTGCTGGAAGATGTAATGGGGACAACTCTTGAAAACATGAGTATAGGCAAAGACTTTATGAACATGATCTGAGTTTTCCAGAAAATATGAAAAATCAACTAATGGGATTACATTAAATTAAAAAGCACAACAAAGGAAACCACTAAATGAATGAAGAGATAGCCTACAGAATGGGAAAACAATTGCTTCTTCATACAGAGGACTAGAATGCATAAATAACAAAAAAATTTGACCCCCAAGTTTAGTGACCCAATTAAAAAATGAACACTTAAACGGACACTCCTCAGATGAAGAAGTGGCCAATAAATACATGAAAAAGCACTGAACATGGCTTGCAATTCATGAAATGAAAATTAAAACAACACTGAGATTCCATCTCACTCCAGAAAGATTGTCTGTCATTAAGAATTCAGACAATAACAAGTGCTGACAAGGCTGTAAGGAAAAAGGAAATCTTCTCCACAGTTGGTGGTAGTATTCATTAGTATAACTACACAGAAAGAAGCAGAGATTCTTCAAAAAATTAAAACTAATGTTCCATTTGACCCAGATACTTTCCTCCTAGGTTTCTTCCCAAAAGAACTGAAGATATTACATCCATTGTACATGAATACCCATGTTCATATCAGCACAGTTCATAGTAGCTAAATCTTGGAAGCAGCCTGTATGCTCACAAACAGATAAATAGATAAAGAAAATGTGGTATTTCTATGCAAGGGAGTACTACTTTGCCATAAAGAAAGATAATTTAAATCGTTTTTAGGTAAATGGTTGCACCTCAAGACCATAATCTTAATAAATAAATGAAGCACACAAATTTAAATATTGTTAGTTTACATGTGTGAGAAATCTAAAATATAAATAAGGGGTAAAACTGGGGAGAGAAACTAGGAAGTAGAAAGAACATGTTCAAATGAGAAGGGGAGCAACAGATAGGGGAGTGAAGAAAGGGAAAATAGATTTAAAGAAAAATTGGAAGAAAAATATGGAAAAAGCTTTTGCAAGTATGGAAGGGAAGAAAGGTTGGAGGGAGAGGAAGGAAAGGTAACCAAAAATAATTGAAAAGTGTTATGTATGTATACACACATAACCCATGATGCATGTAATCACGTCCCTACAAACATGTACAGACAAAAACTGAAAAAAATAAAGTGGGCCTCTTGCCTTTGGAAATCCACTTAAAGAAATAAAGTGATTTACGTGAAACTTTTAAAATCTAACTCACATTATAGACCTAATTAACCTAATGATAGACATAGTAATGTCTAGAAAGAAGTCACAAAACAAGCCAGATTTGAGTTTGTCTCGAAGAAAAAATAGCATCATATGGAGTGGAATAAAGAGTAACTTGGAACAGATTACCTAAATGAAAGGAAAGCAATGAAAATTAACATAATTGTTTACTCAGTATGCTGGTAGTAGACACTAGTTTCAAGGCATGTGGCTTGCTATCACTACTTATGTTACCCATTAAAACTTTTGCAATAATTCTATGACTAATTAATACCCAGTAGTAATATGAGGGACTCTACATTCAGAATCAAATCAACTTTACCCTAGAGGATGGATCACGTTTTTTATAAACAGATATTTTAAACTGAAATCTTCTGATTCTGAATTCTTTCCTTATACCATTGTTATTATAATCATTAATGTGCACTGGTGAGAGTGACAAAGTTTGCAGTAATGGACTGGAGCAGACTATGGGTGTATAGACTATATGATGTTACAAATTTCTTTTGGTGTTTTAAGCATAAAGCTATATACTTTTTTATGATCATCATAATAAGAATATGAAGGATGGAAAGCATATAAAGATGCCTAAAGAAAAAAGAATATAACTTACCAATCTTTTTCTTTATTGGTACATTTTAGGTATACAATTCAGTTACATTCATTAGTGGGATCTTGTACTTTTACACGATGCATGTTGGTTCTTATATTTTCCCCATTCCCCTGGCCTCCCTTCACCCCCTCCACCTTCCGTATTTACAAATACTTTGTTTCCATTCTTTTCGTTTTCTCCTATTTTTCTTATTTTTAAATGAGAATATTTTGAGAAGTAAAAATCAAAGCATGTTAAGAATAAAATATAGTTCCTGAATATTTGTAGAAAAAAAGTTAATCATTAGTAGAAACAGGGAATAAAGAGAAGTCAGATTTATGTCATGAGTTTGTTTAATGAAGAAAATTATTAGTGTTAGCCAGACTTTAATAAATTAGTACATACTGAAGTTGTGAATCTGAGGCTTTAGAAAAACAAATTCAGTGGTAAAAATGTAAAGATATCTGATAGTATGTAAAGATCTACCTACCTTTACTTTATGCATATACTAATGTATCTTGAACTACCATTCTTAGATTAATTTTGGTTCCTTTTGAAGTTAAGTGCCCAAATACCATCAGCTTTTAAAAAATCCCACTTGACACAGAGTAATACAGAGTAGGTGTTTGCACAGCAGCATGTTGATAATGATTTGGAGCCCACACCTCAGACTGCATAAGGCCTTGAAGTCTTTTGCTTCCAGCCAGTAAAAAGGAAAAGATGAAGTGCGGAGTGGATTTTATGAGCTCTGCTTGAAGGTGGGATATATCACTTCTCTCATTGCATGGGCTGGATCTCAATCACAATGCTGTTCTTAACTACAAGAATACATAAAGAAAATGCACTAACACTGTATCTAGCTCTAAAGCAAGAGTTTGGAAAATGAATATAGCAATCTCTGCCATAACTCACTTTTAGTTACATGTGTACTATGTAGTGGCAGATAGTACTAAAAGGCTTGTTTTTTTGTGTTATTTTGTTAAGAATTTTAAAGATTTTTGTTTTATTTTGAAAATATTTTACTACATGTTTGTAGGACATAGAGATTAAATTCACTGTGAGGTGTTGGTACATGTATATAACACATTTTGATTCTTTTTACATCCCTTCCTATTCCTGTTCTTCCCTGCTTCCTCCATTGCTTGATCCCCTTCCTATTTTTGCAAAAGATCTGTCTCCCTGTTTCCTATTATCTATTTTTCATTTTACCCTTTAATTTATTTGTGCTTTGGGCTTCTCATAAAAGAGAAATATGCAATATTTAAGCTTTTGTGTCTGCTTTATTTCACTTAACATCATGGTTTTATGGTACATCCAAAAAATGCCTCAAATTATCCTTCTTTATAGAGGAATACTATTCATTGTGTAAAAGGCTTGTTAAGGAGCTATTTTTTCCTTACTCTACCCATTTCTTATTCTCTATGTATAGCCAAATGAACAAACAAAACCTTAACTCCCTCCTCTCATCACAAGAAACAAATGCTTTTACTAATAGCATCTGAATCAACTATGGGATTGCTCTGCTCAGAACACCATTCTAGAGGTGCATATTCAAAGAACAGCTATCTGACTCTGAGTTTCTGTACACTCAGAAATCCCTGGCACAGCTTTCACTAGGCTGCACTCTGTCTTGGTTGGTCCCAGTCAATGATTCAGCATAGTGGGAACAGGAACACTGGAGTGGCTGTTTCTTCTTAAATGGTAGATTGTTTTCACAACCCATCTTCTATCTCCTCCTGTGATCACACTCTGCCTGAGGCTGTCTTAGGTGTGCATTTTAGGCTGAGATCTTTCCTTCACTCCTTTCCTGCGTTAAGTGTCTTAATTCATTTATGGTGCTATAATAGAATGCAACAAACTAGGTAATTTAAGCAATGATATTTATTTCTCACAGTTCTAAAGAGTGGAAAGTTTAATTTAAGAACAGCACTTAGCATCCGGTGAAGGCTTTCACACAGAAGAAATAAAGCTTGTGTTCTCACAGGAACCAACCAAGAAGAATGGTTAAAAAAAAAGGAATGTAAG